TTTTTTCCGTGGCTAGGAGATTACAGTGCAAGCCCTCTGCCCTGCACCTCCCCAGATTCATCTCATCTCCTCCTCTTGCCCACCCACTCCCACGGCCCGCTGACACTTGCCCCTACCCTGGCCTGCAGGGGTAACACATCACCCCCACCTCCAGCAACCCTCCCTGCCCACCCCACCCTCGCCCCCAACCGGCCCCAGGCCAGGCGCTCTGGTGTGCGCTCTCCCTGCTGGCGCTGAAGTGTCCTCTGTGAACGGGCCCGCGGCACCCGGCTTGAGGGGGCGTCCCCACTCGTCTGTGCCCCTGACTGCACCTCCAGCCCCTCCGGCCTGGGCGCCCCGGCTGCTCGGTGAACGTTTGTTGAATGAATGAATGAATCAGAAGCCCTCACAGACCTGGCAGAGGAGGCGGAAGCCCCGTGGGCCCAAGGCGGGGCCGTCTCCCCAGCCGCTCCCACCAGCGCAGACTCGGGTGCGCCGCGTCTCCGCGGGCCGAGAAGTAGCGGCAACTCGGATCCCCCTGCCCGGCCGCCGCGCCGGCCGCCTCCGCCCCCTGCGTCCTCCCGCTGCCTCCGCCCCCTCCCTCCCTTCCTCCCGCTCTTTGTCTCCGGGGCGCCCGGCCTCCCCGCCACGCGCGCCCCGCATCGCCTCTTCCCCCGGGGACCCCTGCGGACCCCAGCTGAAGGGACGCGGCGCTAGTCGGCCGGCCAGGCAGGGGGCCCAGCGTCCCGCCAGGCCCGGCAGGCGTGGGCGGGGCGGGAGGTGGCGCTCCCTCTCTCCCGCTCTCCCTCCCCCTCGCGCGCGCACACACACACACACACACACACACACACACACACACACACGCACACACACACGCACGCACGCACACACCGAGCATCCTCCCGTCAGGTCTCCCGGTCCAGCCCCGCCCGCGCCTCCTGCTTCCAGCAAACCTTCTCCCTCTCTCCGCACCCTGCCCCATTCCCTCCGGCTGCCGGACCCCCCCCTCCGACCCCCACCCGACCCCCGGGATGGAGCCGCTGGAGCCAGCCCGGAGTCCCCCACGGCCCGGGTGACGGTGCCCCCGCCCCTCTCCCGCCCGGCCCCCCGCCTCGAGCACCATGGGCCTGAGGGGTTCCCGGGGCGCCGGACGCTGAAGATGACCGATGCTGGAGGTGAGGGGCCAGGCCCCCTGGGGGGGACCGGGGAGCGGGGCTAGGGGCCACTCGGGCTCGCGGAGGGGACCCCGAGTAGGGTTGGATGGGGCCAAGCGACATGGGCCTTTCTTCCCCTAGCCCTAGGGGGACCACCCAGGGCTGGGGTGCTGGGCTGTCAGGGAAGGGGGCGGAGATAGGATTTGTGTCCCTAATCCCCTCCTTCCAGCCGGACGCCCGGAGAAATTAATAAAAAGCTGGTGTGGGGGAAGGGGGAGAGGGCTTAACTCTTTCTTGCCTGGCGCGGAGTTGGATTGATGGATTGGAGAGAAACTAGCCACAGGGCTCCGATTGGGAAGAGGGGTCCCGGGAGTGGAGTAGGTGCCCCGTCCCCCATCCCCACCCCATCTCTAGCTGCGCTTTGAAGGGGCGCCCCACTCCTAACGACTGCCCCAAGCCTGGTGCCCGAGGAAGGCGAGCCCAAAGGGGAGGGGGCGCAGCCTCTCTAGCTCCACAACTGCCTCCCGCACCCCCAGCCTCCTCTCCCGTCCATCCCTTCCTGGTCTTTCCCAGTTGCACTTCTCTCTTGGTCTCTTTCTCCTTTTCCGGAGCCCCTTTCCTCTTGCCTGCTCTGCTCTCCTTGAACCCCACCCTCGGGCCTCACTCAGGGCCACGGAGTCCTCTGTCTCGTCTGCTGCGGCCCGGCCCCCCTCTCTGATCTCTTTCTTGGTCTTTCTTCTCAGCAGCCCTGTGGACTCCCCGCCAACCTGTGTGTGTGCTCGGTCTGTTTGCTCCTACTCCCCACTCCCGCTCCTTCCCCAGGGCTTGTGCACCCTTTCTTTCTCTTTCTCCTTCCCTTGGGTCCCCAGGAGCTGTGAGCTCACCTGCCTCCCTTTCTGCCAGAGAAAGGTCAAAGGTCATCAGTGCTCCTCCTCTGGGAATTCGAAGCCTTGGGGGAAGGGATGGTCTGGTAACACCAGAGCCCAGAGGGTGTCCAGAGGAAAGGGTTCATCTCCACCCCGTGCAGCTACCATCTGGTTCAATGTATGTGCATGAGTGAGTGTGTGTGTGTAGGAGTGGGGTGTGGGGTTTGGTGTCTAATTATCCAAAGCTCAGTTTGGAAGGAGAGGATTGAGTGGAAGGGGCCTGGTGACTCCCTGGATAGCCTACTTCCCCAGACTTCCCCATGGGACAGTGTAGGGAGGGTCCCCCATACACACCCCAGGAAGTTAGTTCTTGAAGGGTGGGAAAGAAAGCAGTCTGTGCTGAATCAGGATAGATTGAGAGTGGGTATGAGCTGGAAACCCTATCCCAGCAGAGGGTGCCTGAAAGAGGACTATATCCACGAGAAGGTCTGGACCCTGGACTGGAGCTTTGCATAAAGAACCCTCAGGGGCCAGGTGTGCTGGCTCATGCCTGTAATCCCTGCACTTTAGGAGCCTAAGGCGGGAGGATCTCATGAGGCCAGGAGTTTGAGACCAGCCTGGGCAACATAGCGAGACCCTGTATCGACAAAAAAATTTTAAAAATTAACCAGGTGTGGTGGCATGCAACTGTAGTCTAGCTACTCGGGAGGCTGAGGCAGGAGGACTGCTTGAGCCCAGGAGTTCGAGGTTAGAGTGAGCTGTGATTGTGCCACTGCACTCCAGCATGGGTGACAGAGCCAGAGCCTGTCTCTTCAAAAAAAAAAAAAATCACATGGGATCTCCATTCTTAGTAGTCAGAGGAGAGAAGGCAACACTGCTGCCCTCAGAGAGCCTCCGTTCTGATGGCAGAGGCAGTTCCTGTCTTCACAGAGTCCCTAGTCTGATGGGAGAATGCATGACCCCTCTCTTCTCAGGGAGCTTCCCATCCTATGGGAGGTAGATAAGCCCCATGTAGGGAATCAATCCCCACTTCCTAGTGGTTGGAGAAGGGTGGATTTAGAAATTATGTAGATGAATGGGAGGAGGGAGGGCTACCTAGGACAACTCTCTGGAGGAGGTGGCAGCTGGGTCCTAGTCAGAGAAGGCTCTGTGATTGAATGAGGAAATTTGGTTCATTCTTGGGGACTACCTCCCATCCCATCTGGCAGGAAGAAAGGTTCTAGATCCCTGTTACTAGCCTCTAGAGTTCAAGAATGGCAGAAGGTTCTTGGGGGGTCCACTCCCTGATCCCTTCCCACTCCTCATTTCCTGATTTCAGCCCCAGGCATGTATGGAGTCTGGGGGTGGAGGTGGTTGCCCTGCCTCTCCTAGTCCTAGCCAGGATGGACCGGCTCCCCTCCCTCTACCCTATCCCTTCCCCCAGCAGTGTCCTCTCCTCGTGAATACCCCCCAAACTGCAGATCATCACCTAGGATAGGGGTGAAGCGCAGGAGACCTGGCTCAAGGCTGAGTTCTTCGTCTTCTTACTTTCTAAAATTTATTTTTAGTTTTGAGACAGGGTCTCACTATTACCCAGGTTGGTCTCAAACTCCTAGGCTCAAGCGATCCTCCAGCCTCAGCCTCTGGAGTAGCTGGGGTTACAAGCATGCAGCAAGCCTTGCTGGGCTTGCTTCTCGTCTCCTACATGTCACTTCTCACATCTGTACAGTTGAGATATGAGGATTCCCAAGCCTGGCTGCTGTGAAATGAGATGCTGTCTATGTAATAATGGAAGAGGGGTGTTGAAAAAGACCCCAGCCAGCATGTGGCCTAGCTTTCCTACACCTGTCACATGTGTGGTCTAGCCCAGTGCTCCACCCTTGTCCTGGGGACCTGAGTGTTAGAAGTAATTGGAAATCATGTCTCAGCCATGCAGTGTCCCCTTGCCCTAAACCATCAATGGTCCCTGAGCTTCCTCACTCACCTCCTCCAATTCCCTCCCCTCCTGTGCGGTCCCCAGAGCTATGGAACCCCATATCTGCTGGTAAGCCTGTCCAAATTGTTTCAGCTGCATGTATCTGCTTCTCTGTCCTCCCATCTTGCTTTCCACCAAACAAACAAACCCGTACCCGTTCAGACTTCTTCCCAGAACACACTTGATGCAGCACAGAGATTTGGCTGTCCCCTGTTCTGCTGTGAGCACTCCTCATACCCTCCTGCATCTATGAGTCTGTCTGGAACTGTGAGTTTGTCTAGAACAGTGGCCCTGCTGATGGTGCCAGCTTCCTGAACAGCTCGTGTTCTGAAAGGCAGGTGGTGAGGGCACCAGTAATGGGGGGTGGGGAAGGGGAGGCAGGATTGGATGATGGATGGAAGACAGTTGGAGGATTGATGGATGTAAAGATGGATGGGTGGATGGTAGTGGATGTTGGGTGTATGGGAGGTGGATATGGGATGGATGGACAGATGGATGGGTAATGAGTGGATGGATGAGCCAGTAGGTAGATGGATGGGAGAGCCTGGGCCCTGGTCCTGACTTTGCCACTAGCTTGCTATTTGGTCTTGGGCTGTTTGCTCCCCACCTCTGTTTCTTCATTTGTAAAATGAGAGGATTGGATTTAATAACTTCTATGACTCCTCCCAGATTTGAGGTTGGACAGTTTAGGATGATTGAAGCCTTTCAGAGGACGCTAGTGATGGAAATGCCCAAGCCAGTGAAGGGGAGAAGTTCAGTGACCCATATGCAGACACAGCAAATCAGCTTGGACCGTGACCGCAGGGCTGAGTCTGTGTCTGCGCCTGGATTTGCTTCTGCCCCTCCCTTCTGCCTGCGCCTCCTGCCGCAGCGCCACATCTGGGTTATGATTCCGAGGGCTTCTCTCCCAGGGGCTAGAGGAAGCGTTCCAAGGGAAGGTGCGGGGCCAGCGGGCCAGGAGCAGGCAGTCACTGGCGTCTCCCCTGCCTCAGCCAACCTGATCTTACTTTCTCTCTCCCCGCTTGTCTTCTGCAGCTCCTTTGAGTCATGGCTTCTTCAAAGCTCCGAGAACCCACGGATGAGGTTTTTGGTGAGTTTTGTGCGGCTCTATCTCTTGTCAATAGACACAGCTGTAGAGCACTTCCTTCCTAGGCCTCTAGGCATTGAGAGGGATAGAGCAGTCCTTGGGGGCTTCAGTGTGTGTGGTGGCCTTTTTGTCACCACTGTCTTAGTGGACATGCCAATTACAAGAGCAACAATCAAGGTCCTCATTTATTAAGTGCTCATCTTATGCCAGGTACTGGACTAAGCACCCGCAGCTCACATGCACGGGGTATTCAACCCTCACAATAATGTTAAGGAGTAGGCCCATTTATGCACAAGGAGTGGAGTTGCAGAGTGCTGAGTGACTCGCTTTGAAGATCACATGGCGGCCGGGCGCGGTGGCTCACGCCTGTAATCCTAGCACTCTGGGAGGCCGAGGCGGGTGGATCGCTCAAGGTCAGGAGTTTGAGACCAGCCTGAGCAAGAGCGAGACCCCGTCTCTACTAAAAATAGAAAGAAATTATTTGGACAACTAAAAATCTATATATAGAAAAAAAAATTAGCCGGACCTGGTGGCGCATGCCTGTAGTCCCAGCTACCTGGGAGGCTGAGGCAGTAGGATTGCTCGAGCCCAGGAGTTTGAGGTTGCTATGAGCTAGGCTGATGCCATGGCACTCTAGCCAGGGCAACAGAGTGAGACTCTGTCTCAAAAAAAAAAAAAAAAAAAAAAAGATCACATGGCAAGTTAGTGGTAGAGCTGGGACTAGAACCCCAGACTGTCTGACACCCTGCCCTTAGTCACTGTGCTGTACCTGAGCACTGACAACACACAAGTCGCATAAATAAAGAGGTGCATGGGACCTCAGCCTGCACAGATGTGCCCTGAATCAAATGTATGGCATGCACACGGCTGCAGTACCCCTGGCAGCCCGCTCACACTGGTGTGCACGCCCACCTCCTCAGTTCACACTGGGGTGCATGCACACTGCCTGTACCATCAGTCACCCCTGCAGTCTTCTGTTGTGAGGACTGGGGAAAGAGACCACCCCGGCTGGGCAGAGTTCCCAGCATGCACTGGAGTGGAAAGACTGTTTCCCAGCTGGATTCGGGTGGAGGAGGGTGGGGGGGTGAGGAGGAGTCAGTGAGCAAAGGAACATGGAGGGAGAGGTGGAGACAAACAAGAAGTTGGCCCCCAGCCTCCAGGAGCTCCCAGCTCCTCCTCCCCCCTCCTCCCCACCTCTCTTTTCCTCCCTCTCTCCCCCTGCCCTGCCACTGCCCCTTGCCCTGGTAACACCAGGAACTGCTGCCTCCTGACTTTTGGGGAATGCTGCTTCCCACTTGGGTCTCTCCGGGCTCCCCCAGCCTTTAACTGCCTCAGGGGCCACCGTGCCTGAGTCCCTGTCTCCACCCAGGCCTGGCCAGAGAGATGAGTTCTCCCTGCCTCCCTAGCTCTCTCCCCACTCAAACCCTTCCTATTTTCCTCACTGCTGAGGTAGCTGGGCCCAGTGCTTCCTGATGCAAAAGGTAATTAAATATTCATGACTTCCCACTGTCCAGGGCAGGGAGAGGGAGAAAGGGGGAGAAGGTGGCGGAGGGGGAGGAAGGAGGGAGCAAGTAAGGGCAAGAGATGGAGGAAGCTGAGCGGTGCTGGGGAGGCTGGCCCCACCTTGCCTCAAACCCCACCCCCCAGCCCCTTACCACTCCCTCTGCTCCCCAGACTCTCCAAGGTATAATGACCATGGCAGTGATGTGGCCCCGAGTCAGGAGCACAGGGCCCTCCTCCCTGGCACAGGTTGGCTGGGCACCAGCTGGGTGCCACAAGGGCAGAGGATGCAAGAGCACTGGCCTGAGAGCCAGGAGATTTGTATACTTTCCCTAACTCCATCTGCATCCTTGTCCAACATTTTCTCCTGGAACCTCAGTTTCCCCACCCATAAAATGAGAGGTCGGACTCAAAAGTCGATCCTATTTCTGCTTTGGAGAGGGCATAGCATGCTTGCTGGTTAGCAGTGGAGCCAGACTGCCTGTCTGTAAGTGTGGCTGGGTCTTCACCAGCTCTGTGCCCTCAGGCCAATTAAGCCTGCCCTGGGGATTCCTGGAGTCCCTTCTGGTAGGGTAGTGGGGAGGCTCAAATGAGCTGGTAATTGTAAAGCACTTAGAACAGTGCCTGGCACAGTAAGGGCTCAATGAGGATTAGCTGTTATTTTTCTGTGTTTCCTTCTCAGTCCTTGCTGCTTCCAGGCAGTGCCTGGAGATTCTGTGCAAGGGGCTGGGGACAGAGGGCTTCCTCCCCCAGCCCCAGGGGCTGGAAACACCAACAGAGTTTCCAAGCAAGGGCTGCTAAGGGACCAGAGGAGTGGAGCGAAGCCTGGGGACAAAGATAGCAGTCTTTTTGACAGTCCTCTGCTCTCCAAGTCGCCAGCTACACCGCTGGGCAACCGCAGCAGCCTCTCTGTATTCACCTTTCCCCTCAATCCTTGCAGGCTGCACTGGCCCCTTGGACACGTCCAGCCTGCACCTTTCCTTCTCCTTCGAAAACTCTTGTCCTTTCTACATCCTCAGCTCTTTCGTGTCACCCAGACCTCAGCCTGGCTGCCTGAGCTAAAGTGGTACCCCCACAGTCCACCGTGTCTCCTCATCCATTCCACAAGTATTTACAGAGCTCCTAGTATGTGCCAGGCTCTGATCTGGGCTCTGGGGTGACAGCAGTGAACAAGCCAGACAAAGTCGCTGCCTTCATGGAGCTTGAATTCTCGTGCAGGGGCAGGCAGGGGGACAGATGATGAAAGCACACACAACTAAACCAGGAATATATTTGATGGTGAAGTGTGCTTTGCAGAGGATGGAAATACTGGCCGTGATGGAACGTGGGCATGTGCTTGTAGGTGACCCTCGTCAGCCCTGTGTATGTCTCCACTGAAGCACGCATTGGCCCATGGAAGTGTGACTTCGCTTCGGCACTGACCGAGCACCTACTCCCTGCCAGGCACTGCACCAGGCTCTCGTGCACCTTTTCTCCTCCTTGGAAAACTCTTGTTCGTTCTCCAGCGCATCTACAATGCACCTCTCATGATGTGCGGCGGATAGGGAAGGGCCGCGCCCTCTGCAGCGTGCAGGCCAGCATGCGGAGGCAGTCATATGGCAGACCATGTCGTGACTGGTGACCATATCTGTATCATAGTGCAGGGGCCTGAAGAGGTGTGGCTGTGTGTGTGTGTGTGTGAGATGTGTCAGAGTCGCTCAGCCAGGCAAAGGCGGGGCGGAGAGTGCTGGAGCAGAGAGAGCTGCATGAGCACAGGGCTGGAGGTGGGACAGAGGTAGAGGCAGGTATAGGTGCAGGTGTACATGCAGGTATCAGTATAAGCAACTCAGTATTGCTCCCTAACACCATCAACAGCCAGTGCCTGCCGAGCACTTACTAAGTCGCAGGCATTACAGTGAAACACTTTATATGCATTATGTTCACAACAAACCTATAAGGAAGATACTGCTATTAGGGTCCCATTTTACAGATGGGGAAGCCGACACCTAAATGGAAGTAACTTGCCCGGGTCACCCAGCCAGCAAATGGTAGAACTGGATTCAGCCTGGGCCATGTGGCTCCAGAGCCTGTGCTCTTGGCCACGGTGGCATGTATGAGCATGTGAGAGGAGGAGTCTGTGGGAAACTTAGAAAGGGTGGGCTGGGTCCCCTCAGGCCTTGAATGGAGGCGGAGGAGCATGGACTTTACATCATTGGCTTTGGGGAACCCCCACCCCCACCTCAGAGAGTTTCAAAAGCCAGAGAGTACAGGACATGGTCAGAAATGTGCTTTAGAAAGTTTCTTCTGGTTGAGTGGAAGGGGTGGGGAGGCAGCCCGACTGGAAGCAGGGAGCGAGGGTGGGATAGATGTCTGTTTGGGGTGGCAGAGGCTGGGAGGGGGCCGGCTGCTGGAGGCCTGAGCTGGGGCTGTTCAGTCCAGAGGGAGAGGAGAGGCCAGGTTCCATGGGTGCAAGGAAGGCCAGTCAATAGAACATCGCACTTTCATTAAAGTAGCATTTACTAAGCACCTACTATGTGCCAGCACTGTTCTATGCCGTGGTAAAGCAGTGAACAAAACAGAGAACAACCTGTCCTTATGCAGCTGATGTTCTAATGGGTGGAGAGAGACAATAAACTAAACAGGCAGAATATACCGCATGCCGGAGAGTGATCCGTGATGTAGGGAAAAGTAGGAGTGGGCTTTTGGAGTGTGCATGTGGGGTGATTCTAAATCGGGTGCTCAGGGAGGGCCTCAGTGTGAGAAAGTGTTCAAGCGAAGACCTGAAGGGGGTGAGGGAGAGAACCATGCAGAAGTCTGTGGCAAGAGCCTTGCAGGGAGAGGGCAGAGGAAGTACAGGCTGGGCTTGTGTGAAGATGAGCTGGGGGCCAGGGTGGTTGGAGTGGAGAGACAGAAGGAGACCTCGGAGTGGCCAGGAAACATGGCCTAAGTTTGGAAGGCCACTGGGAGAACTTTGGCTGTTACTCTGCAGGAGATGGAAGTCGCCGGAGGGTTCTGAACAGAGGAGTGACACAAGCTGACATGTTTTATTAGTGTCACTCTGGCTGCTGTGTTGAAAATAGACTGCAAATGGGAAAGGGAGGAGGAAGGAAGACCAGCAAGGAGGCTTTTTGTAATAATCGAGGCAAGAGATGGTGGTGACCTAGACCAGAGAGGCTGCGAGTTCTCCCTCTCCACTCCCATCCCCTGCCCTCCTCTCCCCTCCCCTCTCCTCCTTCCCTCTCTCTCTTGCTCCCTCCGTATGCGTGCCTGTCTATGAGTGTATGTAGACACTCACACTCATGAACAATGTTTTATTGTGGAAAATCTCAAACATATTCAAACGTAGGGAGAATAGCACAATGCACTCTATCATGTGCTCATGTCCTTGTCACCCAACCTCAACAATGATCAAGTCGTGGCCAGTCTTGTGTCATATATATCCCCTTCCACTCTCTGCCCCTATTGTCCTGAATTATTTTGCACCTAATCTAAAACACCTAATCTGCACCTAATCTAAAACATCATATCACTTTGCCATAAATATTTCGGGATGTCTAGATATATTTTGAAAGTAGAGCTAACAGGAATTGTGGAAGAATCGGGTTGCAGGGTGGGAGGGAAAGAAGTCGAGAATGATTCCAGGGGTTTGGCCCGGGCATCTGGAACCGTGGAGCTGCTGTGTGTCAAGAGAGGGGACTAGGAGCAGCAGCTTGGGGCATGGGAGAGGTCAGGGGGTGACGTGGAGCATGGAACTTGAAGATACCCAATGGACATCCAAAGTGGAGGTGTCAACTCAGTTGGACACATGAATTACCAATTGGGACTGGGCTGAGGGAGAAGGGTAACTTGGAGCTGTCTGACTTGGTGACAAGAGGGGCCTTTCACTGGGCCCGAAAAGAGAGGAGAAGCTTGTCTGAGGCCAGGTGATCGGTTCATTTTGCTGGGCTGAACTCGAGGTGTCTGGGGACCTTTGATGTGGCAAATCCCCAGGCAGGTGCTTGAGTGCCCAGGCTCCGAATTCAGGGGAGGGGTCAGGTCTGGAAACAGACATGGGTGGTGGCTAAGGCAGGAGAGTAACTGGGGTGGCTTAGGGGGTGTCTGCAGGCAAGAGAGAGCAGCAGGCCAGGCAGGGTGGATGGAACGGGGTCCCTGAGATCATGGGAGGTGGAGCGGGGAAGACGGGCTCTGTCCCATCCTGAGGCCTGGGAAGACTCCTTTCTGTTTGGAGACCCCAGCACCAAGCTCTGGGCCGGTACCGAGTGAGGGCTTCATTTCCAGATGGAGCACATGAAAAGTGGAGCTGCGAGCAACAAGGGTTTAGGCACGATCCATTGGGTTTGCCCGCTCTTCCTCCATGTCCTCGTGCGGGACCTAGCACCCGGCCACAGACCCCAGGACAGGAGAGACAGGCTTCAGGGGACTGTGGGGCTTTCCTTCCTACCACTGCCACGTGGGGGTCCCTCTCCTCTGCTTCAGCTGTGAGCTCCGGATGCTCAGCAGTGCTATCTCTGAGTGTGACCCTGAGTGTGGCACAGCAAGCCAGTGCCCCCAGCAGGGCCAGTCTGGAGCTTGACTAGCCAGGCTCAAATCCTGGACCACTGGTAGCTGGTGGCTTTAGTCAAGTCACTTGCCCTCTCTGAGCCTCAGTCTGCTTAGCTGCAAAATGTGCATAATAGCCGTCCTAACCCCACCAGGTTGTTTTGAGGAAGAGACGATGTAGGTACGTTGGTGAATAGTAGGTGCTTCTTAAACAGTAGCCGTTACGACCTCCAGCCTCATCCTTTAGTCCATCTCTCCACAGAGCTGCCCTCAACTGTCCCTGGAGGTGCCACTCCTTGCTTCCCTACTTCCTAGCATGGCATAGGCCAGTTTCCCCAACCTCATCTCTTGTAAACTCCCACCCAGACCCTACTGCCCAGCTTTCGTGTTTCCTCCTCTGACCCCTCCAAACAGGGCTGTCCTGTCCCCCTGTGTGCGTATATGAGGGTTCACCACACTGTGCGATATTGATGTGCTGGCGTATCTGCCTCCCCCGCCCCTGCCTGAGAGGGAGACTGGGACTGGGAGAGACCCCGTTTTTCATATGGAAACACTGGTTCAATGTCTGGAGTGTGAGCACAGCTGGCCCCCTGAGGTGGGCCTCTGGGCGTGCCATCTCTCACGTTTCTGGTCTCTTCCTCCTTCCCCCGGTTCACAGACCTGGACTTGGCTGTGCCAGAGACCGCCAGACTGGACAGCAGTTTACACAAGGCCCGGGCCCAGCTGCTGGCCAAGGGCCGGAGACACCGGCCGTCCCGCTCGAGGCTTCGGGACAGTGCCAGCTCTGCTGAGGATGGTGAAGGCTCCGATGGGCCTGGAGGCAAGGTTGGGGCAAGCTGTGCAAACACACATACACCCACCCGGCCCTCCTACCCCTGGCTAATCCCTCCAAACTGCCCTTCCGGGGCGGCCACGCCCCCAGACTTCTGGCTAGTAATGCCAACAAATGTTAGCTGCAGTTCACTTCTGGCTCATTCCATCCTTTTAAAGAATGTATCGTTTTTCTCATCTTACAGATGAGGAAACTGAGGCCCTGAGAGGTCCCGTAACAAAGTCACAGTTAGTAAGTGAAGGAGGCGGAACTCAAGCCCAGCCTATGTGACTCAAAGCCCCAGGAATTCGGGCTCCTCGCCTGGGGGCCGCAGTTTACAGGGCGAAAGGGTCTCCCAGCCCCTCTGGGAAGGGGGCGGAGGGTTCTTGGTGAGCGGCCGCCCTCTCCCCCAGGTGACCGACGGCTGCGGGAGCCCCCTGCATCGGCTGCGCTCGCCTTTGCACTCGGGCCCCGGGTCCCCGGCCGGGGGCTCTTTCTGCCTGGAGCCTCCGGGGTTGCGGCGCAGCCAGGACGAGGACGAGCCACCGCCCTCGCCGCTCACACGCTACCGGCCCCTGCACAACGCCGCCTCGCACGAGGGCCTGGCCGCCGCCTCCTGCTCGCCGCCGCGCTCCGCGCCCTCCTCCGACAGCTCGCCCAGCTTCAGGCGCCGCCACCCGCGCGCGGAGCCGCACAGCGAGGGTGAGCAGAGGCGGCGGCAGCGCCCCTCGCGGAGCCGGCGGGACGAGGCGGCTGGGGGTGTTCGCGTCGTGCACTGCTGGGCTCCGGGACACCCAATACAGCAAACAGACGCAGTCCTTGTCCTCGTGGGGCTTGTAGTTGAAGGGAGGTACAACCAGATCATTCCTTTAACTACGCGTGTAGTTACAGACTGTAGTAAGTGCCATGCCGGAAATGTGCATCGTGGCAGCGGGACAGCATCTATCAGGACGCCTGACCTAGCTGGGAGCATCCTGGGAGGCTTCTCTGAGGAAGTGACATTTGAGCCAGCATTGCAAGGCTGGTTAGAAGTTGGCCAGGATAAAATTAAGAGTAAATAGCAGGGGCCCCTGCCTTTTTGGAGTGCTTTGTAGTTTGTCAAAGGCTTTCCTAAGGATCCCATGAGGTCCCATGAAATAGGCAGGTGTTATTATTCCCATGTTATTTGAAAAGCAGGAAGCTCAGAGAGGTAAAGTGACTTGTCCCAGGTCGCACAGCTAGTGGAGGGTGAGGTTGCCTGATTTTAAGTCACCCCACACTAGTGAAGGGGGCAGGCAAGTCACCACATGGGCTATTTCCTTCCTTCCCCTCCCCTGTAAGATGACAGCCGGGATGCCAGCCCTCCCGAGCCTGCCAGCCCCACCATCGGCCTGGATAAGAAGACTCGCCGAAAGTTCCTGGACCTGGGGTGAGTGGAGGCGGGACCATTAACGCAGGGCTTGGAGCTGTTGGGGTGAGGGGTAGCACAGTGGAGCCCTGCCCCACTCCCCTCTTCCCTCCCCGCAGGGTCACCCTGCGTCGAGCGTCCACTGGCAAGAGCCGGAAAGAGAAGGGCAGCAACCGCCTGTCCATGGGCAGCAGGTAAGAGGTGCCCACAGCACCCCATGGCTCCCATGGGCCCCGGCCCTCTGTGCCCACACCCATGCTGGGCGCTCTCTCCGCAGGGAGTCGGTGGAGGGGTCTGGCAGGTCAGGGGGCTCCCCGTTCCTGCCCTTTTCCTGGTTCACAGACAGCGGCAAGGGCTCAGCGTCCTCTGGCAGCACCACCTCCCCTGCCTGCTCCCCTAAACACGAGGGCTTCAGCCCTAAGAAGTCAGCTTCCCAGGTAAGTCCATGACTTCCTTGCCCCAAACTAGCCCCTAGACCCAGGTGCCATGAGGCATACTTCACCCTGGCTCAGGCTGGGTTCAGGCATTCCTGGAGTCCGTCGGTCCATCCACGGAGCCACTCAGTAATCCATCACTTCATTTGAGTTCATTCATTCACTCGCTCATTCGTTCATATTCTGAGTAGTTCATTCACTGCTTCATCCATTCAGCACCCATCACTGGACACCATGGTTTTCCTATTGTCCACGCAGCCTGAGGTCTGCTCCATTCTGCTGTTCTGCCAGGCTCAGTTCTCACCCCACTCCTGTGTTGGGAGCTGGGCCAGCTGCTCGGCAGGGTGAGACCTGGGGAATGTAGGGATGAACAGGACCCCAATCTAGTGCTCTGAAAGCTTAGAAGTGAGACTGAGTAACAGGCAGCAGTGAGCATCTGCTTATGTTCAGACAGCCCTCTACACTTTACGAAGCCCCACACGCCTGTGTTTGCTCCACTGTCACAGAGGCTCAGTGAATTAGGGAGGAGGGCGGGCGCGCCCATTCCGTTGTGCAGATGAGGAATGAAGTCCCGGAGAGAAAGGGACTTGCCCGCAGACTCGCACAGGTTTAGTTGCAAAGCTCTGTGACTCCCAGCTCAGTGCTTGTTCTAAGCTTCTGTTGCTTATGTGCAGCTGGGGCCAAGGAGAAAATCGGAAAGCTGGGAGTCCCTTCTGACTCGGGACTGCCTTCTTTCTTCCCTCCCTTTCTTCCCTGTGCTGGGCCCTGGTGAACAAAACACAGCCGGGCCCTCGTAGAGCTCATGGTCCAATGAGGACAAACACCTCTAATCAGGCACTGCCAAGCAGGGGTGCTAGAGGCCAGGTGGGAGGCACTTATGGGGGACACCTGACCCAGCCTGGGGGAAGCCTGGAAGGCTGCCTGTAGGAAGCGATACCTAGTCTGAGACCCCCCCCTCCATTTCTGCTAGGTATTCTGCCTGGCTTAGTTCTAGCCCCCTGTCCTCCAGATGGCTGCCTGCCCTCCCACAGGCCTCAGGTCCTGATGCCCCACACGAGTCACCATGTCCTGTATGCCTGCCTGCCTGCCTCCTGGCTCACGCACAGAGGGCACTGAGCAACTCCTGGTACCTAGTCCAGGATTTAACTCCATCCAGACCATGGTGGTGGGTTGCGGGAACTCCCTTGGGTTTGGGGGTGAGCTCCCACCTCAGCAGCCTGCACCCCTTCCTGTCTAGGAATCCACCCTGAGTGACGACTCCACGCCCCCCAGCAGCAGCCCCAAGATCCCGAGTGGGCCCCGGCAGGAGGCCAAGTGTTCTTACCCCTACCACACACTGTCCCAGTCTTCGGATGAGGTGAGTGGGGTTGGCCGTGGGGCCTGTTGGAGCCCTGACCTTGGACTCTGCCAGGTGTGCAGGCCGGAGGCCAAGCCTCCCGCTCACGCTCCTTGGTCTCCACCCCAGTTCCTGGATGAACCCCTCCCCTCTGTCCACCAGTGGACCAGCCAGCAGGTGGGCCAGTGGCTGCACAGCCTCAGCCTGGAGCAGTATGCTGCCGAGTTCGCCGCGCGGCAGGTGGACGGGCCGCAGCTGCTGCAGCTGGACGGAAGCAAACTGAAGGTGGGTCAGGGTGAAAGGTCCATGACCCTGCTCGTGCTTGGGGCAACCTTCAAGGATGGGGAGTCTCCCCTCCTGACCTTTGACCTTCAGCCCAGCGTCCTGGGCTGACCTTTTCACACCATCTGTGGCCACTGCCGTGCCTCTAACCCCCAGGCAAGGTCCTTGTCTAGTCCAGTCTTTGTGGTGTAGCATGGGTCCCCAGTTTGACTTGAAACTCAAGCCCGATACTTCAGTTTGACCTTCAAGCTCCAGCCCAAGTCGCCAGGCTGACCTTGCCCTCTAGGACTGTCATCTGACCCTGATGCTCATGAGTTTCCTGGTATTATGGGAAGCCAGGAGTTGCCTTGGTCAGCTCTTGATTCTGTCTCCCAGAAGGCTGGTGGTAGTGGGGGAAGGGGACGGGGTGGCCTCCCATCTCTGCTGGGAGGTTCCTGGCCTGTCTCCTGGTCTCCGCTGAGTTGCTTGGGGGAAAGGGTAGTGGAAGAGTCCCCAGGAAGTCTCGGGAAGTGGGGGGCCTTGGCCACTGACTAGCTGTGTGACCTCGGGCGGGTCACTCCCCATCTCTGGGCCTCCGGAGGTAGGGCAGGGTCATGCCAAGGCTAAAATCCTGAGTGGAGGCCTGGGAGCCCCAGCCCTCTCCTCTCCCCACCACTCCCTTCCAAATTCTTGCCCTGAGGGTTGTGGTCCCTGGCCAGTAGCCTGGGAGGTGAAGGCTCCACTTCAGGGTGGATTTACAGGGCTCCACGGGGAGTACACCTGGGGCAGGAAGAGTCTGGTGGCCAGGACGGGGATGGGGACTTCTCCCTTACCCCTGGATTCCTCCCCAGAGCCTGGGGCTCAGCAACTCGCACGACCGCGCACTGGTGAAGCGGAAGCTGAAGGAGCTGGCAGCGGCTGCCGAGAAGGAGCGCAAGGCCCAGGAGAAGGCCGCGCGCCAGCGGGAGAAGCTCCGGCGCCGGGAGCAGGAGGCCCAGAAGAGCTAGGGGTCCAGTGGGGCAGGCGCTGGCGCTGGGCACAGGCCTCACTGCGGAGGCTGGACCCGGGGGCCACACTTGGGCTGGTCTGGCCCCAGCCCAACTCTCAGGGGGTACATGCCTTCTCTCACCCTATCACTCTGTTTGGACCCAGAGCCCCCAGAAAGGGAGACCCAGGGAGAAGGCCTAGTGATAAATCCATTCGGAGGACTTACTTGGCACAGAGTTCCTAGGGGAGGAGGCAGATGAAGGGAGAGGGCAGAGAGGCCAGGGCTGAAGTGCTGGGAGCCCAGAGGAGCCTGGGCCAGGCTGACCCTCTGCCCTCAGGCCCGGGTGGGGCTGGGGCAAAGCCAGCTGGGATGCCCACCTGCCTGCCTGAGGCCCTGAGACCACGCAGGGCTCAGAGAGGGGGGCTGAGCATCTCAGCAGCAGGTGGACCGAGCTGTTCCTTTCCAGCTCTCCGAGGTGGCTGTGTGGTGGGGAGCTCTGTCCTGCTCCCCAGGGAGGCCAGTGGGCACCGCAGCAAGTCGCACTCAGGGTAGACTCCCAGCCAAACTCCTCAGTAGGAGAGCAGAGAAAGCAGCACAGGATACGCTTGATCTTTGAAGGACTTTAGGAGAAGGGAGGGACGATGACACCCTCTCCTTCCTTCCCCCCGGCTGTCCTATGGGTCCCAGTGGGTGCCAGATGACGTCCACGCAGGTCAGTGCCTCTTGGGGCCCAATTAAGGCCTGGCCTTTGACCCGTTCTCCAAGCCAGGACCCACTTCTCCTGCTGCTCCCTCAGAGGGTGCCTGAGCCCGCTCTGGGGGCAGAGCAAACTCGGGAGCTGCTGGGAATGAGGACACCCCCCACCAAGACCTAGGCGGCACTGAACTAGTGAACCCTCACCCCGGCCAGGCAGAGGAGCAACGTCTGGGGGTCCCTGGAAGCTGCTGGGTTGGAAGGGTTCATCAGCTCTCCATCTGCCCTGGTCATTGTTGGGGCCTCAGCGGGCTCCAGAACTGGCAGACGGTGCAGGCTCTGGTTTGCTGGGCCGCAAGGAAGGCTCAGACAGCTCCTTCATGGGGTGGTGGAGTCTTTCTGCAGCCTGGGGGTGGCATCTGTCCTTTTAAGAAAATGTCCAGGTGCACCGCTGGCCAGCAGCCAGCCCAGCTTCCAGGGCACTGGTCAGAGTTACCAATGGGGCCGGGGGGCTTCTGATTAGAGTTCCCCCTCCACCTCCTCAAACCTGCCTGGAGTGGTGGGCAGGACCCAATGCATGCTGACTCCCCTCAGTCCTGCCCAGGGGCTGTGGCTTATGGCCAGGGCGCTGGCCCTGGGACTCAGCCCTTTCCTCCCCTCTGCCATCTTTGCCGGGAGAGGGGCTTCAGAGGGATACTGAGATATGGGGACACTGGCACCATCTGGGCCTGGTAGCAGGGCCGCTGGGAGGTTAGAGGCACCCTTGTCCTCGAAGCCATCCAGAGCTCTAGAGGGTGCTCACCTGCATGTGAAGGGGGGAGGCGGTTCTCAATTTATTTCAATAAACACTATGATGTGCCAGTGACCTGTCTGCCCAGTTGGGGGACTAGGCCGGGTTTGGGGACTGTGCTGTGCCCTGAGTGTAGTGCAGTGAAAGGTCTGTCCCTGGGTGCTGGGCTGTCAGTGTTCTGAACGGACGGCTTTGCCTGGCGCTTACTCACCGTGCACCCTGGCTCAGGCCCCGAGCTGGGCTGGACATCCCGAGTGCGTCATGCATTGGTCACAGGGTACCTTGGTCTCTGTGTGTGTTCCCCTCCCCCCAGGAATGCAGCCCAGCCGCACACTCATTCAGTCTCCTCTTTACTGTGGATGTTCCTGTCACCATCACAGCCACTGGGAGGGGCACACAGCTTTAACCCCCTGTGTGCTAAGGGGAGGGTGGGGCACTCGGGGCTATAAAACTAGCTATATACATAGCGTGTTCTAGGGAGAAAGCCACGCTGAGCACCCGTGTCCGGGCACGGTGGGGGGGGTGGGGTCTGGAACTCAGGTGGGACCAAGTGGGTGTGTGCACGTACGGACATGCTGGGGGGGGGCACTGGCGGTGGCACAAACACTGCCAAGGCTGCCTGCAGGGCCTCAAGCAGCTTGGCTGGGTGGGCGACCTCTGGGTCTTCCCAGCTTCCTCTTAGGGGCGGACCCTGGGTGGGAACCCCCCACCACCCAACCTTGACCTTAAAGCCCAGAGTGGAGGGCAAGGGAGCAGGACCAGGTCTCTGACAGGTGTCCAGTGCGCATCCCCTTTCCCACTCGGCCCCCAGATCTGGGGGCACCAGCCAGCCCCCTCCTAACACTGACTACGGACCAGGGCAGGGCACCTGTGTGGGCTGGGGGATAAGGCAAGCGGGGGACATCCACCTGGATGGCCAGGGTGGTGAGGGAGACCCAGGACCCCTGGCAGCAAAGTGACAGCCCTGGTTTCAGAGAGGAGGACTGCGTGGAAAAATGTCTCTGGGACACCCCGTCAGAGTGGAGACATCCCCAATCCTCAGGCATCACCCACAGACACTGGACACCAGGAGACCGCCAGGAGCCCTCCACGGAGACAGATTGGCACTTAGGGACCACCACAGACCAGTTGCCATGGTGATTTCCATAGAGACAGAACCTGGTCATCAGGGAGAACCCACCCCTGAGGGTGGGGAGGGTCACCGTGGTGGCCGGACCCAGAGACAGCAGGCCACCCTCTCAGGTGCGGGTGAGTGGTGGCCCCTAGCTGACGCGGTACGTGGATGTGTTCTTGGGCTCTGTGCTGGGCACACACCAGTCGCCGGCTTCCTGGATGGTCTGGTAGTGGCGCCAGGCTGACTTGTTGTAGACGGGCAGGCGCTCCACCGAGTCCGTGGACAGGGCCTGGGGAGCGGCAGGGTCAGCTTCTCCCCCTCCCTGCGCCCTGCCCACCCTTCAGCAGACCACCCTCTCCCCAGGGTGGGTCATGCTGGCCTCTGACCCACACGCCCCACTCCACACTCATCCCAGCCACCAGCCACTGGCTGAGACCACTGTCCTGGGCCTAGAAAGACCCATGGAACGGTCTGTTTCTTCTGTGTCCTGCTCAGGTCCATTCAAGAAAGCTGCTCCCCGCAAGGGTCAGGGAGGGAGAGGGAGGAGGCTGGGCTGTGTGACCCTGACAAGGTGACCAACTCTGGGACTCCGTCTTCCCCTCTGAACTGAATGGCAAGACCTGTGGTCCCGCCACTTCCTTCTGGGTCTAACAAGGGAAGGGTGCCAGAACAGGGGTCTTAATCATGGACCACGGACCCCTGATATTCCTTGCCAAGTTGTACGTCTCTGGAGGGTGGGGTTATTCAGGCTGAGGACCTGTAGCTTTGCTCTGGTTCTCAGAGTCTGGAACCTGGCAAGAACTGGAGAGGCGGACAGGAAACCTAGCAGCAGGCTGAAGCCCTCCTCCAGCCGGGCTCTCAGGCAGGGCCCTCACCTTGAGATAGATGACCGCGTCAGTCCCGAAGCCCTCCATGGAGAAGAGCTGCAGGTCTCCCTGGAAGTACTTGGCGTAGAGGCGGGAAATGGGGAGCCCATAACCAAAGCCAGCCTGCAGGGGGCAGGAGGGTAGCAGTGAGGAGGCTGAGCATGCAAGGGGCTCCCACAGCTAGGGTGGGGATGGAGCAGGAGAGAGGCTTTGAGGCGGAAGGAGGGTGTGGGATGAAGGGAGTCATGGAGTGAGGGAGAAGGGCCGGGTGGGGAGAGGAGGTCTGGGCAGGTCCTGGGGTTTCTCTGAGTCTCAAGTTCCCAAACAGGGAGGCGATAGTAAGCTACACAACGCCAGGAGAAAGGCAGCAATGGGGGGTTCAGGGGGATAGAGTGGGGAGGGAGGTGGCAGAGAGACACCTGACAGGCAGGTAGGTGTGTGCAGGGTGGGGAGACACAGGAGGAACAGGGGGCCCAGACTCAGGGGAGGTGACCGACAGCACACAGGAGCGGAGGGAACGTGGACATGAGGAAGTGAGAAATGAAGAGACAGCATCCTTCAGAGGTGGGCGGGCACAGGAGCAAAGCCATCTCACCAACGGGGTTCCCCCGGTGCCAGGCTGGGGGGTGGGTGCTGTGGAGTACATGTAGCTGAAGAGTCGCTCAATCTTCCTCAAGGGGACACCCCCACCTCGGTCACTCATCTGGGGGAGATGGGACGTGTCAGGGACCCTCCAGAGCTCAGTTCCCCCCAACGCCCACCCCTGACCTTCTCCTGGCCTTCCCCACCCTGGGATCTGCCCACCACATGGAAGAAAAGGAGAGCCCACCCCAGGCAGGAGGGAGGGCCCCACCCCCAATGCTCTCCGGTCTTCAAGCCCAAGGGTCACATACTTTGATGGACAGATCTTCCTCGCCCAAGGCCACCATGACCTTGATGGGTGGGAGAACGAGGCTGGATTCGTGGCTTTCCACGGTGGCCCGCATGGCGTTCTGCAGAGGGGAAGAGGTCAGAGATGCATGGGAGCAGCTGGCCCTGACCGCGCTCCCTCGAGGGACAGCCCCCGGCCTGCTCACCTTGAAGAGCTCAAAAAGCATGTGGTAGAGGTGGGAGGGGACATAGACCATGTGAATCGGCTGTTTGGAGTTGGCTGCTGCAGGGAAGATCAAGACCAAAGGTCGGGGCATTGTCAAGAGGTCACCACTCAACTACCTTACCCAAAGCAGGACACTTGCGACCATTCTTCTTCTATCAAAAGGCAACCCCTGCCCCAGAGTTTTAACTGGGCACATGGCCGCCCAGCGAGAAACTAAATCCCCGTCCTCCCCTGAGCTGGCGCAGCCAGGTCACTCCTGGTAGGGCGGTATACGACTCCTGGGCCCTGCTCTCCACACCCTCCTTCCCTTCCTCCAGGCTGGAACCGAGACCCGGGGGTGGGCAGCCAGCTGTGGGCACCCCCCGGGGGCTGGCGAAAGGGAAACCTCCTCGAAAAAGTCACCGGCACTGAGGTTCTGGGAAGGCAGCCAGGCTAAGACATCACTCATTGCAGCACCCCA